TCATGGTGGGGCCCGCCCGGCAGGGACGCTGCTGTGTCTGCCGCTGAGCGGCTCGGCTGGGAAGAGCTCCCGGCCCTCCCCAGCCCGCCCTCCCGCAGGGCCTGGGGGGGAATGCCACGTGGGGGGGAATGCCCAGGCCAGAGCACGGAGGAGCCCCCAGGCAGGGACCTCACAAGTGCCTCCCACCACTCCCATCAGCTGTGCCTCGGGGACCTCCCCCGGCTGGAACCTGAGACCTAGGCACCTGCCAGGGGAGACTGAGCAAGGGGTGGGCCACGGGCAGGACCAGGCAGGCAGCCTGCAGGCCCCCACTGCCCCCCCCCCCCCCCCCCCCCCGCTCAGGGGCGCCTGGGTCAGAACGGGGGAGACAACAGGGAGAAGGGGCTGGGTGGAGGCTCTGCAGGGAAGAGGGAAGGGCTGTGGAGACAAAAATAAAACCCCGTTCTGCCTCCTGAGCTTGTGGTTGGGCCCACAGGCATCCAAGCCACAGGCAGCCTGAGCCGTGCGCACGCCACGCAGCCCAGGAGGGGAAGGGGAGGGGCTGCCAGGGCCCGGGCTGCAGGGGGAGAAACTGGGCAGGCCCCGGAGCTGCGCTGACAGACTGGCGACCCTGGACCAGGGTCTGGACGGCGCTGCCACGGAAGCTTGGGGCTAACTGGGGAGCGTGGGGGGCTGCCCTGTGCACAGCAGGGCACTCAGCACATCCTGGTCTCCACCCCGTCCCTCCCATCACCACACAGGTGTCCCCAGATGGATGTGCCCATGGGCAGCTGCCTCTGCTGGCCCCCTGGCCCCGCCCAGGATGGAGGAGGCTGGCTCAGGGGGCCCCACCAGCCCCGGGTGCACAGCTAGCCAGCCGCACCCCCAGAGGCCCCCACGGCCCAGCTCCAGAGGGAGGCTTTGTCTCCGACGCTGACCACTGAGCTGCGCCTCCTCCCGCCGGCCCGGGAGGCGGGTGAGGCGGGTGAGCCAGGGGCAGCTGCCAGGGCCAAGGCCACACTTGGCACCGGAAGGCAGGGTCCGTTCCATCCCAGGGACCTCACCCACCGCTGCTGGGGAAGCCAAGACCCAGAGGATGTCCGTCAGCCCAGCAGCAGGTGCTGACTGCTGCCCCCTGGCGGCCACCAGAAGAAGCAGGCCTGTGCCCTTCGCTGTCATGGCCACAGCATCGGGCAGCCTGTGTGCCCACCAGCACACGCCGGGCGGGGCCGCCTGGCTCCCCGAGGGGACTTGGTCCGGTCCGTCCCAGGGAAGCTGCTGGGAAACCCGCTCAAGCCTCTGAGACCTGCCTCCTCCCCGGAGCTCACACCCAGGGCCCCTCCCATCTCAGGGGCCGGTTAAGAAGCCCCGCCCCGCGGAGGGGCCCGGCGGCCTGCCTGGCGGGCGGGGCAGCACGGGAAGGCGCTGGTCTCCTCTCCGAGGACGTGGGCCTGCGTCTGAGGGTGGGAACGGCCCGCCCAGGCCCCCCTTTAGGGATAATGCACTCCCCTCCCCGCCCAGAAGGACCCCAGTCACAGGGCCCCGGCTCACACCAGGGCTCCAGGGCTTCTCCAGCCCCACAGGCAACACCTTCCTCACCACCTGCACCCCGAACCTGCTGGGACACCCCCTCCAGCTGCCCAACTCAGGCCCGGAAAGAGGCCGAGGACACGGAGCCCACAGGCCAGCGGCCCGACCCCAGCAGGGCGGGGCGGGCGGCTCAGGGGGCCACTCGAGTCCCAGGTCCTTGGAGCCTGCTGAGCATCGCCCGTCACCTCTGGGGGCCCTGGGGCCTTTCCTGACGCCCCTCCCCGAGCCCCCCCTTATACCTCAGCCGGGCACTGCCAGCCCTACTGCTGTCCTGGGCACTCTGCCATCTGTGTGACCAGTAAGAGGCTGCCTGCCCCTGTCCCAGCCAGCCCCACGGCATTCCTTCCTAGACAGCGAGGCCGTCATGCCCACGGGCCCGGCACCAGGACAGGGGCCGGCACCGGGAAGGGCCTGCCAATCTGCCACCCAGGGCCTCGGTGCCTCCGAGGCTGGCACCGGCCTCCATCCCAAGGCAGCTCACACCAGGCAGACGGGGTCCGGGCAGCAGGAGCGGGGGCTCCGGGAGCGTTTATTACAGAGAACAGCAGCAGCAGCAGCACCGTCGGGGGCGGAGGCTCCGCGCTCACTTGTTCCGGAGGTAGATCTTGGGCGTCTGCCAGCCCGGAGGGGCGTCCTTCAGGCCCGCCTTCACCCAGATGCGCTTCAGGTCCCTCTCGAACCTCACCTGTGAGGGCAGAAGGGACGCCCACCCGTGAGGGCCACGCACGCTCCGCCGCCTGGCCCCACGCCGCCGGCCGGACCCGCCGGTACCTGCTTCCGCTTCAGGCGGCCTTCCCGCACCTTCCGCCGCAGGAACCGGGTCCTCTTGATGAGCTTGCGGTACTTGTGGCGGTTCATCTTCCGCCGGCGGATCTTCAGCACGTTTTTGCACTGAATCTGGGGCGCGTCCCAGACCTCCTGGCGCCCCTGCTCAGCCCCGCCCCCCGCCTGGCCGGGCGGACACTCGTAGGCCTGGGCTGGCGCCACAGTCCCTGGGACCCCGGCGTCCGGTCTGGGCAGGAGGTAGTGGGCGGTCAGCCAGCTCTCCAGGGGGCTGATGGACATCTTCCTGGGGACCAGCATCTCCTCGAGCTCCAGCTGCTGCTCCCCCTTGCCCGGGAGGACGGCAACCGGGCTCGGCGCTGCTGGTTGCGTGCCGTAGCGGAGCCTGCAGACATGGCTGCCCAGCACTCCTGACACAGGCCTGGGCCCACGGAGGCCTGCGGGAGACACGATGACAGTCACCACCCACCAGGCTGCAGTAGCCTGCACTCAGCCGGCTGGACCTGCCGGGACTTCGGAGCAGAAGCGCCATCACAGCCTGGGGTGACCTTAGTCCTGGTCCGAATCCCTGCTGATGTTCTGGGGGAGAGGCGGGGGAGATGGCGGGGGACTTCCCCTTTGTGATGCTCGGATGTTTGCAGGGCAGCTGGCTGGCCAGGCCCTGGCCTCCGGATGGGGAGGCGTAGACTACTAACCCGCTTGTGTGTCCTGCCCACCGGGCCCCACGGGAGCGCTTACCTGCCCGTGGAGCGACCCTGAGCAGCTGGGAGGTCAGACGCGCCAGGAACATGGTCGGCGGTGGCGGCCCGGGCGCTCAGCGGAGCTGGAACACAGGTGCGCGCGGAGGTCAGGGGGCGGCTGGCGGGCCTGGGGCTGCGGTCCTCTCGCCCGGGCTCCCGCCACCTCCTGGTCCTCAACTCCCGGGAGGACCTCGCTCCCTCCCCAAGCGACCCGCCTCCCACCACGCGGCCGGGGCCGGCACCGAGCCTCCCTGGGTCTCAGCTTCACCCCAGGCGCCGACCGCGCGGGGCGGAGCCGGAGGCGGGGAGCGGCGCACCACGGCCGCGGGTGGGCCCGGGCCCCGGAAGGGTGGCCCACACCGGCGGCTCCCGCGGCGGCCCCCGCCCGCCCTTTCCAGGCCTGAACCCGGGGACCAACACTGACCATTCCGCCGCGGTGCGCAGGCACTTCCGGTTCGGTCTTCAGCCCGGGTGCCGCCGCCCGGCGGTTCCTACGTCCAGCGCCCCCTGGCGCTCGTACAGAGCCCGACTCCGCGTCGGCTCAGGCCCCACAGGGCCCAGAAAGCCACGGCTTCCGGCCAGAGGAGCCGCCAAGCCACGCCCCCAGCCCAGCGGATTAGGGAGACAAGAAAACTACATCTCCCACAACCCCAGGGATGCTCTCTGCGCCTGCGCGGCCGAACTGGCGTCTAGCATGGCTTCTTCGCTGATGCAAGCGGAAGTGACGTTTAAATAGTGCGACGGAAATGGAGTGCGCGGGGCGACCAAAAGCGACTGGGGTACCACGCCCGCTGGGGCTGGAGGCGCTGGCCCCGGAGACCCAGCTCCCTCCCCTCCCTCCCCCCGGACGGGGCGTGAAGGGGTCAGACCGCGGCGCCGGTGACGGATCCGCAGCTCCGGCACCAGCGAAGCCCCACCCCAGCCCTTTGGCATGGCGGCCTCCTCTCCGCGCCTGTGAGGAGGCCCTCGCCTTTCCTTTTTAAGGCGAACTCCCAAACTGTGCCTGTGGAAAGAGAAATCAGAAACTTCAGTTTTTGTCCAAAACCCAAAAGAGCCTCCTGGGAGGACTGGGTTTGGCTGAGCCGGTTGCTTCTCAGGATGGAGGCTTCCAGGGCCCCAGGACCCCTTCTCGCTCTGGCCTGCGTTGGAAGGGCCATCAGGGGTGCCGGGGAGGGGAAGGATGCAGTGGTGCCCGTTGGTGGCTCTACCTGCGAGTCCAGTCTTCTCAGGCCCCAACCTAAGTAAGCAATGAGCTTTGCATCCACCCATGGGAGGGCGGCAGAAACCACAGGCTCCAGGCCCTGCTCTCCACCGAGGCCGCAGGATGGCGCTGTGCCCCGTCCTGAGGGGCTGCCTGAGTAGGAAGGTCTATGAGCATAGCCAGCCCACCTCAGCTGCAACATCCGGCCCTTCATGATTTGGTCATAGAGCACCACCTGGAACCTAAGCTCGGATCCTGTGGCTTTCACATCTCCTTGGCCCCATGGCACCTGATGAGCCATGCACAGTGCCCTTCCACCTGCAGAGGTGCTGGTCTGGGAGAGCCAAAACCAGGCATATGACAGGCCCACCCAGGCCTGGGAAACAGCACGAGGCCCATCCTGCTCACCGGGCCCACGCCCTGTGCACCCGCCTGCCACCCACTGGGGGACACTGCCAGGGGCGATGCTCCTAACGGACCCGTGTGCCTCGGGTGCAGGCAGTTTCTGTGCTTCTCCCTTCCCTTGCAGCCTTTGTGGACATGCAGACGACGAGGCCCCCAGCCTCTGACAGAAGAGCAGCCACAGGAGCTTGATACAAAACAGCTTTAATGAGATCAGAGGCGGCAGCACAGACACCCCGAGAATGGGCGCTGCGGGCTGTGCGCAGTAACAAGCAGGACACTACAAATTCTTTAATGTCCAAATATCCTGAGCAGAGAGAATTGTTTATTCAACCACATGAAATGCATAGATAGGAAACCTCTATTTAGGAGCTGGTGGCCTGCACTCAGCATCGCAGATAAAAATATACGCCTTTCAACACAGATCTAAACACCTTCACATTTTAAAAATCAGAATTCTCTACACAAGTTTTAGGCTGACAGAATTCAAGTTCTGAGTTCTCATATATAGCTTTAACTTGTATTAAACACATGTTTATTTACAACGTGGATAGAGAATAGGGGCTATTAAGGCCATTTTCTCATTGTGAAATACTGCAAAATATGTACATAAGTACAACCTAATATAGGCAAAGGTCCTAAAAGTCATTTTGTTGGTTTAACGTAATTGAGTGTCGGTATGGGAGTGAAGACAGCCTGTCGTTAGCACCAATCCACACCACCGGCGTGCGCAGTATCGACTCTGCAGCTTGTGCTGCAGGGCTGCGGCCAAGACAGGCCGGGCACCGGGACCGGTGTGTGCCTCGCCCAGCCAACCTGAAGGGCACCGTGCCATCCTCTCGATTCCATCTCCGAATTCACCCCGAGGTCCAGAGTCAACAACCATTTACAAGGAGAGCTGAGCCACAGGTCAGCCTGGCGAGGCGGAGGGCAGCTCCCGGGGACCCAGGCCTCACCTCCGATGCCTGCTGTGTCCGGGGTGGTCCCGCTCGTAGCCGTGGCCTGTGCGCTCGTAAGACCTCGAACGCTCCCGCCGCTGGTCCCTGTAGTAATGACTCTTCTTCTTGTACTTGCCGGAACTATCTGCCCGGTCCCGGGAGCGGCTTCTCGAGCGGGAGGAGCTCCGGCTCCGAGACGGGTGTGGCTTCTGGGCGGGGTACTTGCAGTCCTTGGCCTTGCGGTAGCTCCTGGCCTTGGAGCCTTTGTAGGGAGCGCCTCGGTGCGCCTGTCTCGGGGGCGAGTCGCTCCGGCTCCGCGAGCGGCTTTGGGACTTGGACCCTCCTGTGGTCGAGCCGCTGTCGCTTTTCCTGTGAAGAACAGCAGCACCAGGCGATGACCGAGCACCACACACCTCGCCTCTGCAGCCTGGGATACCACCACCCGCCCGCCAGACGCAGCCCCTCGGGCACACACCTCCTCTTAGGAGAAGCGGATCGCGACGCAGACCTCGAGTAGCTCTGCTCACGGCTCCCACTCCGACTCTGACTGCCTCGCCCCTTCGGCAACCTGAGAATAGGGAGCAGCAGTTGAGACCTGCGCTCCGCCACCCCCCACAGCCACTGGGGCACTCAGGCACTCACCCGTTCACCGGGCTGTCAGCCTTGGCCTTCTTCGCACCCTCCGTTTTCCTCTTGGTGCTCTTCACCGAGAGCGGGGAAGCCTTGCTCCCCTTGCCTTCTTTGGGAGATTCCGCTAGAACCAAACAAGGAGTTAAGACCTGACATTCAGAAAACTACAGCATTACAAACAGGTGAGCAGAGCAACGGACCACCATCTCTACGGAACAGCGCGTGGGGACACATGCTAACGGGAACTTCCTGCTCCCAGCCTGGGACTTGGGACCTGGACATGCACCGGAGATGCAGAGGGGCCACCTGCAGGGACTGGGGAAGGGTCGGGCCGGCTGGGTAAACCACCCCACAGCCCTGCTTGCTAACGGAAATAAAGCCGAGGAAAGCAATCCCTTCAGGGACATCTCCAGGATCACCACGGGCTCAGACACTCGAGAGGAAGAAGGTCGCCCTGTAGGAAGCAGACTCACCGAGCTTGAGGGCAGGAGAGAACCCCGAGGTGCTGTCCAGGGCAGGGGTGCTGCCTGGCAGCAGGCCCCTGGCTTGCGCCTTTGCCTCGTCCATGGCGTGCTTCTTCTTTTCCACCTCACTTTCCAGTTGTGTCAGGTCAACCTAGAAAAGGTAAGATCCACCTGTTCAGAAAGAGGTGCTTCTATCACAAACACAGATGTTACATGAAAAAAAAAAAAAAAAAAACACAAAAAAACACAGAACCACCTTTTTCCGAGTATACAGCTGCAGGATCTTTAAGCAGATTTCTTGAATTTCTTCTTCAGTTGCTCCAAACAAAAGAAACCAATGGGGACGATTGGGCAGAGGGATCTGAAAACAAATGCTACCGGTTATGCTTGCCCTCACGGCCAACAAGGCACTCGGTGCAGTGAACGCCACCCGCTGGTCACTACGAGGCGGCCTCTCATCGCACCAATGAGCACACTCTGTACCCGACCCCTAAGAGCTCTGGAGGCTGGAGAAGGGCCCGACCGGAACCCCTGGGCGCAGCACTGACCTCCAGCGTCCGGGCTGCAAGGTAAATGCAGGCACAGGCGATGCTCTCGGGCTGGAACCGCACAAACACGTCTGTGCGAAGGCTGTCATTCATGTAATTCCTGAAATCAAACGCAGGGAGAATTGCAACATCCGGCAAACCCAGGACGCCCATCGGGCTCAGCTAGGGAGGGCACCTCCTCTAAGGAGCCTGCTGTGAGGACCTGACACAGTCCTGGGACTCTTGGGTTCGGGGGAAAACGAACTAACTGCTTTTTCTGAACACAGGACAGTTAGGTGGGGAGATAGTTGGCAAAAAAAAAACTTTTAACCTGGCTGAATGTCAAATCGGTGTTGCTATGAAAGAGAACCAACTTTAACTCTCCTTTTCCCTCTCACTTTGCCTGCTCTCATGCAAAGCACAATGCCTCAGAAAGAAACAGGGGTGAGAGAGTACTTGGTTAGAGAAATCTAAGCGCTCAGATCCGTAGTGCAGAGAAACATGCAAACTCAGTGGACTGCGAGCTCGGAACCACAGGCTTTTCTGAGACAAGCCGTCCTCTTCGTTCCTCCTCCTTCGTCCACGAGGGAGTCCGCGAGGAGAGGAGCTTCGCCCTGGGAGCAGGGAACAGCATGCCGAGGAGGGCTCAGTGCCCAGAGGGCAGTCCTCTTCTCAGGCTTAGCAAAAACCATTTCCAAATTGTCCCATTCAACAAGGAGTCTTAAAATGAATATTCATAAGATCAGACAAAAGCATCAAAATACCATCATTTTCACCATAACCAGTACATTTAAAAACTTTATCATACTTTAGAAAATAGAGAAATACAAAAATATTTTGCGTTTTTAAAAGGTGACATTTTAAACTTGGCTACATTTAACATTTTCTTTCATACGTGTTTCTCTAAGACTTAACAGGAAACTTTACCAATCTTGCACACACAAGGATTAATTCCATGAGAAACAGGTGAACAGGTCATACAGTCACCGCTCCCCACCCCCACCCCCCAGGTGACAAGCCTGAGTCAAGCTGCACCCACAGGTGAGCCAAGTCACGCTGTGATTGACTGATCCGCCACCCCACCCCACTCCCACCCCCACCCCCACCCCGACCCCCACCCCCACCCGGTATTGCTGCTCCCAAGCCCTGGAGAAGGTGACAGACAAAGCACTCCAAGGTCCTCAAGGCCCGCACATGCCGCTGGCGGCACCTGCTGGAAGCTCATGTTCCAGCACCAGGAGGTGACCGAGAACCAGTGTGAGGGCACCAAGGCCCAGGACCCAGAGCATCACAAATGAACAGTTTAAACATTGTACGTATGCACATAACCATCGAGAAGTTTTTTTTTATCTTAATAGAACATTTTCAATATTCAAATAGTGATAACATTAATCTATTAACTTTAAAGTCCTAAAAACAAGACAAATTGCTCAAAACATATACTTAAGCTAATTGCATATCTGAAATGTTACAATATAAAGTGTTCATGGGGTCATCTAAAGATGCATTACCTTCACTCAGCTGCTGAAATGGCAGCCCTAGAACCTCCAGAAATAGTGCCATTATCCCTTACTTACATCCCAGTTCCCATCAGCCAATTCTCACAGCTTTCCACAGATTTTTTTTCACAGACAGGTATTGCATCTTTAGTGCACAGGTAGGTACAGCAGTTTTAAAGGAACAAATTTCAAGTCAAACAGTTATCAAGTCTAATCAATACAATTACCAAAGCACGACAGAGGGTTAACAAGAAGCGCAACCGTCAGAACCACAGCAGCGTCGGCCAGCACTAGACTATCGTGAGCATACCACCATCTAGGCCAGCCTTCGTGGAGCCTGCCCGGGAGTGGCTGAGGACGGCCGCTGTCCCTGCACCGAAGCGCTTGGACAGCGAGGAGAGGTCTTAGTCACTTACCCTCAGAGGCTCCCCTTTGATTGAAAGAGTACAGAAAAGAAAAGTCAAAACAGGTTCTCTTGGATAGCACAGCACCAGACAATTCAGCAGCAAAATATGACCCTTATAGCCTTAACTCCGGGGGGAAACTCACCACGCACCCAGCACTGCCCTGTGACTCCAGGCCTCATCTCTAACATATGGTTAAAGCCCGTCCCCAGAACTTACACCAACTTTACATCCCCTCTTCCCTGGGAGTCTTGTTGAGACAGCGGGGAGCAAATTCACAGGAGACACAGGACTAAGACTGTGCCCGTACCCGGGGTAAGATCCCGGGGTGCCCGTCTGCAGCCCCAACAGGAAGCCTACCGACTGCCCTCGGAGGTCAGGGGAAGGTGTGGGCCACCTTACCGTTAGCCAGTGCCTGATATTGGGAGGCTGGTTGGAATTACGTGGCAGGAACACTGGGCACTCAAGACAACTCCAGCCCACAACCAAGTCATGGGACCAACTACCCACTGCCCAAGTGCCTACAGTCAACATATTCCTGCCTGCCCCGGCTGGTCTCATAAAACAAGGAAAACCAACTCACCACGAGGTCTGGACCAGGTGTTGGTTACGTTCACACTCTAACACCTGGAGGTACATAACGATTATCTGGAAGATACGGGTCAGGCTGTTATTACCAAGAACCTTGGAATCCAGATCTCAGATCTTGAGGGCGCCATGCAGCAGTAAGCCTCATGCTAGCTCCCAGGAGGCTCCTGGCCCCAGCCCAGGACACAGCTCAGCGGGAGGCTTCTGCTGCCATCTGCTCCCTGCACCCACAGGGAAGACCTTGTTTTTCACCCCCAGCAGCTGTGTACCCATCACCAACTTACACACAATACGGTGTGAAAACACTGCCAGCAAATGAAGAAAAGCTCTTAAATCTACGGTAATTGATTGAGGTTTTGAATTAATGCCAGAAAATCAAATAAAAAAAGAGAGTATGAGGAAGCCCACCAATAAAAAGAAAATGAAAACAAAGATACAAATAGCAGTATTTTTTAAAACAAGCTTTAGACCCTAGCTGGTTTGGCTCAGTGGACAGAGTGTCAGCCTTTGGACTGAAGGTCCCAGGTTCAATTCCAGTCAAGGGCACAGGCCTGAGTTGCAGGCTCCATCCCCAGTAGGGGGTATGCAGGAGGCAGCCGATCAATGATTCTTTCATCATTGATGTTTCCATCTCTCCTTTAATCTCTGAAAGCAAAAAAAAGTATATTTTTAAAAAAGGCTAACTTTAAAAAAATAATAAAATAAAACAAGCTCTGGGCCCTGGCTGGGTGGCTCAGACGGGGAGAACATTGTCCCAATCCCCACAGGCAGGAGCAGCGTCCAATGGATGCGTAAATAAGCGGAGCACACATCCCTTTTCTCCCTCCCTCTGCCCCCTCTCAAATCAACTCAAAATAAACAACAGCTTTGTGTTTGAGAGGAACGGAGAAGGAACCAGAATACCCTACAGTAGCCACGCTCCTCAGCTAATTCTTCATGAAAAACGGCTGTTATAGGAGGAGATGAAGCCGTTACTAAAGCAACTTTAAAAATGAGCTGTTTAAAATAAACAAATAAACAAATAAATAAAACGAGCTGTTTAAAATAAATAAATAATAAACAAACAAACAAATAAATAAAGGAAAACGAGCTGTTTAAAATAAATAAGTAAATAAAGAAAGAAAAGAAAAGAAGCTGTTGAGACGTGGCCAGGTGGCTCAGTTGGTGGAAGCACTGTCCTGTGAACCAAAAGGTTGCAGGTTCCCATCCCCAGTTGGGGCACATACAAGAGGCAGGCAGTCAATCTCTCTCTCTTGCTCGCTCGCTCGCTCGCTCAAATCGTTTTGTTTTTAAGCAAAAACGCATCAAATGAAGGCTAAAAAATTTTTTTGAAAAAGAAAAATGTAAACAGACAGATGCTCTATTTACAACTTCATCACTATTTCTGAAAACAGAATGCTACTTCCAAAACGCTTAAAAACATAATACCAAAATCAACAGGAAACACAAGGCTAACGGAGAAGAGCATTTTCAGATTATGGAGAGAAAATGGAAACCCACGCCAGGGACACATTTAATCGTCCTCAGTTTTCAATCTCGGAGAGAACAGAGTGCGGCTCCGGGGGTCCTGGGGCCCCCACCCACCTTGTGGGGGTGCTTCACATGGACGCAGAAACCCAGCTCCTTGAGAACTCGTCTCTCTGCCTTTATAATCTGGTTCTTCAAGTTAACATACTCCTGATCCAGCAGTAGAGGTGTAGGTTTCCTACAAAGACACAGTACATCAGGTCAAACAAGACAAACTCTTCCTAATCTTTTGGCTACCCCCACCCAGTTAGAATCCTTCCTATATAACAAAGATAATATGCAAATTAACCCTCACAAGATGGCTGCCTAGGGGGTTAGTGAGGGACATCCAAACAACTGAACAGCAGGCTGCATGGGGGAATCAGGCCGACAGGGGAGGCAGTAGGGGGCAAACAGGCCGTCAAGGGGGCGGAGGGGCAGTTAGGGGCAACTAGGCTGGCAGGGGGAGGGAGTGACGGGCAACCAGGTAGGCAGGCAGGTGAGCAGGATTGTGAAAAGATGTCCGACTGCCAGTCATCCCCCTGAGGCTGGCCAGAGGGGGACCCCTCTCCCAAATTCATGCACCGGGCCTCTAGTCTACCATAATAAACACCACAAAACAGAAGTGGCAAGTTCATGTCCTTCCACCACAGTCTCCCTACAGCTCCAGCGCTAACCTCAGCAGCCTCCTCCCGTCTGACCCAGAGACCCGCTCTACAGACTCGGCCGAGAGGGCCAGTGCCCCGATGGCATCGAACCGGGACTCCTGACTCACAGGTCCAGCCCCAACCACTGAGCCACTGGCTTGAGCGCAACCTTTAAACAGCCAAGTCCCTAAGGACGTCCATCAGCTTTAGGAAATCAGGAAACCCACCAGCAGCCTGGAGGCCCAGCGCTCTGTCCTCCTCACTGTGGGGCCTGAACACACTCAGCAGCGCGGTGAGGACCCTGGGGCACAGGCCCCCTTCTGGTCTAAAATCCTCACACCCTGGCCCCGGCCAGCTTGGCTCAGTGGACAGAGCATAGGCCTGCAGACCGAAGGGTCCCAGGTTCGATTCCCATAAGGGCATGTACCCCGGCTGCATGCAGAAGGCAACCAATCAATGTGCTTCTCTCACACGGTTGGTTACTTCTGTCTCTCCCTCTCTCCCACTCTCTAAAATCAACAGAAAATATCCTCGGGTGAGGATCAATAACAAGAACCTCACACCCTGGATTCTGCTTCAGAAACAGTGTCACTTACTAACGGCAAGGAGGAGGCAGGCATTGGGGCAGGTGCTGGACTCACTTTTTCTCCCTCAGCTGTCGCAGGCGATGGAAGACGTTCATGACATCCCGGATCCGTCTGGGCGCCTCCTCTATTTTGGAGGCCAGGTGCACACAGGCCATGGACACGTGCTGCAACGTAAGCATTGCAACACGCAGAGGTTTGCTCCGGCGCCAGGCCTCCCGCAGCTTCCGGGCGGCGGGGAGCTAAGAGCGGGGGCGCCCGGAGGAACAGGCCCCCTGGGCGGGGTCCCGGGACTCCCAACGTCCCCTCCGGAGAAGCCACCGGCAGAGCCAGCCCTGGCTCCCCCCAGCACATGCCAGCGGGCAGCGGGCGGAACCCCTTACCTCCATGGAATGCTTCACAAAGGACTTGGTGTAGAAGAACCGCTGGAACAACACCTGCCCCGTCGCCATGGCCACCTGCGAGACAAAGGTGCCGGCGTTTTAAAGGCGCCCGACAACAGCCGCAGGGCCGCCGGCCCGGGAAAAACACACGTTTATTCAACACGTCCACGGAGCCTGCGCCCTCTCCGCCAGCGGCGATCCGGCGGCGGGGAGCGCCGGGCCCGGGCCGGCGGGGAAAGGACGGGGTCGGGGTCAGCACGGGCCCGGCGCCGCCGCCAACAAAAGGCCCGGCCGCGCCCCGCGCCGGCGCCGGCGCGGCGGTTACCTCGGGCCGGGCTCGCGGCGGCCTCACCTGCGGCAGGCGGAGCAGGATGCCGGCCGCCTGGATGAGCTCGCAGCCCACCACGCGGAGGTCGGTCTCCGTGTCGGTGTCGAGCCCACTCGACATGGATGGCGTGAAGCGGAGCTTGTCGTCGGGCAGGAGGCAGTTCTCCAAGGTGATGAGCACCCCGGAGTACAGTCGGTCCCCAATCAGCACGCCCTGCGACCCGGGAGCTGTGCCCCCCGGGCCCGGGGTCCCCGCCGCAGCCGCCGCAGGGGCCGCTGGACCCTGAGCCCCGGCCACGGCCGTAGCAGCCGCTGCCGCCGCCGCCGCCATTTTGTGCCGCCGACTCTTCTTCGGGCTTCTGCCCGGCAGGGCGGCTCCTCGCGACGTTTACGTCCGGGACCATCCAGCCCTGCCGCGTCATTGGTTGGACCTGCGGGAGGCCCGGCGACCCTTTGACACTATTGGCTACGAGACCTGCCCGTCAGCGCCGCGCACGATGCCGGAACCCGGCGCGGGCGGGCGGGGGGGGGGGGGAGCCGTGCTCCTTACCCAGGAAGCCCCGCGGCGCCCGGAAGAGGCTGTGGTCTGGGCCTTAACCCGGAAGCACTCGCTGCGGGTGCCGCTCCGGGGCGCCCCGGCGGAGCTGCGTCTTCACCAATTCGCGAGTTCGCGAGCCCCGCACTGCAGCCCTAAGGCTTCTTGGGGGTCCGATTGTTCTCGAAGGGGTTTGCGGGCACCCGGAAGGCACTGGGTGAGGGCCCGGACCGGGGGGCGGTGTCACTCGGCGGGACGGCACCAGGGCAGGCGCAGGGGTTCGTGGCTGCTTTTCCGCTGTGAGGTGCGCCCCCTGAGCCTGGGGGGACCCTCGGAGGCTCCGGGAGGTATTTGAAGGTGTCAACGTTGAGATCAGAAAGGTGAACCTAGGCCGCGGGTGGGAGGGGCTCTCACCCCAGTCACCGGGAGAACCCAGCGGGGACGGCTCTGGAGTGAGCACCCAGCCCCGCGGTAGTGACGGACCCCTGCCCTTAGCTTCCTCTTCCGCTCTCGGCTGTACTGCTCTCCTTTCCCTCCGGACGGAAACCTCCACTTGGCTGGCCTGGACCACACATTTGGGATTGCAATCTCCCATTCCCCACCGCACACACCCCCTCCCCCAATAAATCCTTTTTGCTGAATGAACACCTGACCGACTTTTTACTTACGTCCGGCATGTTTGGGGCTCACCTGGGATCCAGAGAGACCCCTGGTCCCCATAGCGCCAGGTCTGGGGAGCAAACAGGTGCGGCGCCCACAGACCCAGCTGAGCTCGTTTTCCTCCTCGGCTCAGGAGCTCCAGGGGTAAGTTCTCCTGGGTCCGACCTTCTGCTTTTGTGTTCTGAACTTTTCTGGGTTTTGTTCTGAGGGCTCTCTTTTTCTGTTTGCTTGAATTAATACGTGGCAGCTGGCACTGTCATCCCTCTTCAGTTCTCGAATCCAGGGTTGGGGGTACAAATAATACTACCAGATCACCAGAGTTCTTGCCCTCAGAATGGAGCCAAAGACAAAACAGAGCAGAATTGACTTCACCGGGAAGAGGGGTAGCCGGAAACATAGAATTCCATGTTTCTCCTAAGTCCATGACACCCCAAGGAAAGGCAAGGGTTCCCTAGGCATCGTGGGCAGGGGGCCAGGATGGGATGTTCCAGGAGCTGTGGTCAAGGCTTCATCTGCGGACTTCATCTGACCAACAGAGGAAGCTCTTGAGGTGCTGATACCTGTATGAACTAACTACTGACCACCACTGCCTGGTCGGTTGTATCGGACGCTCTGGGTTAGTGACTGCCAGCCCCTGGTGGTATTTAAGTCACCTGACGGCATGCTGCTCTCGTAGCTGTACCAGAGGAACAGACGCAGTGTTACTGATCTGTAGCTAGTTTTTCCAAACTCTCACCAGAGTAAGATCTTGTCTGGAACCCTCAGCCAACAGCTTATGGCTCTATCCAGTCAGGGCCAGGCCCGGGAAGGGAAATGGGTCCAGTGTTGCTGCTAGCATATAGCAGCATTGACTGCTTGCTGGTGACTCCTGCATTTTCCCCCATTTCTCCCCCACCACCACCACTTTTATTATTTTTTTTTAATCCTCACCCAAGTGAGGACACATTTTCCACGGACTTTTAGAGCGTGGAAGAGAAAAAACGATGGGTTGGTGTGTGTGTGTTCCCGCTGCCCCACATCGCTGGCTGAAAGGCAGCTCCTGGAGGGAGGGGGGCAAAAAAAAATTAATAAAATATGTAAAAATAAATAAAATTTAAAAAAAGGCGGCTCCTCCACAGCAGGACGTGGTGCTCACACCACACTGAAGGGCTCCTGTTTCTCCACCTGTTGCCCAGGAGCCATTTACTGACGAGCGTGTGCACTGAGCACCTCATGCACAGCCCAGCCCCAGGCAAGGTGCAACGAGGGAAGGAGACTCCTCCCCAAGCCTCGAAACGCTTCCAGTCCAGTGGCCATCACCGAACACGGTGACAAGGGCCAGGAGGCGTTTCTTAGGCCAGTGCAGTGACTGGAGCCAGAGGGATGTTGGCCTGCAGTGAGGATGGGGAAAAGTGGGCAGGTCACCAGGCAATACGCCTCACCCTGGCAGCCGCTCCCACCACGTGAGGCAGAGCACAGAGGTGCCTGCTTGACGCAGAGGACACACGCGGAAACGCTGACCAGCACACAATTTTTATTAACACAATCGACAAGCAGTCGCTGGTCTTTCCCCAGGAGGACAGACAGGCCTTTTCTCTCACATGGTTACTGAAATAAGTAACACAACTGCAAATCATACTAAACCCATTCTTGGCAAAGGATTCTTGTTTTAAGGATCACAGGAAACGCCTCTTCCTGCGAAACCAGCTGCAGAGGGCCAATGTGTCAGTGTCCCGTCAGTGGTACTGCACCACTCTGGAAAATATGCCTTCCGGCTCCTTCCCGTCCCCCAAGGCGGCAGCAAACCCTTCCTCTCGCCTCCTTTTGGCCAAAGCAGCCAAGGATTTAAAAGTCTTTGGTTCATAGATGGCCAGGTCAGCCAGCACCTTCCTGTTGAGCTCCACCTGGCACTGGGAGAGAAGCAGAGCCCGTTCAGCATCAGAAATGCGTTTCTCTGAAGCAGAAGAGAAGGCGCTGAGCTCCTAGTCCCAGCACATAAGCTGGATCCACTCCTAGGAGCATGTCCTGCACGGCTGCAGGGCAGGCTCTGCCCTCAAAGGGGAAGGGGAGGGAGAGGTGAATCCCATCCAAGCAGGACACTGGAGGAGGAATGTGGACAGGAAGGGAGCGCTCCTCTGCAGGAGGTAGCAGAGAGGAGGCTGGCATCCAGTCCTGATGCCAGAAAACCAAGGATCCTGCTTAGGGTCAGGGGTCATCACCCAGACGGATGCAACTGTGGGCCTGGGGCAAGTTCAGAAGAGGAAGTGACAACTCCCATTTGCAAAGGACGAAGACAGCCCCAAAGGGGAAGCAGGGACCCAAGCTGGGCTTTCCCAATTCCCACAGACAGCCAAACCAAGTCGTCGGTAAAGTAAATCTGCAGGTGACTTCGGAATTGGAGGCCTGGCCGATGCAGCTCAATTGGCGGGGCACTGTCCTGTGCCGTGCACCGAAAGTCTGCCAGCCTGAGTCCTCGGCCCATCACAGCCCTATGTGGTGGGCTTGATCCCCGGCAGGGGCAGGCAGAAGGCTGACAATGTTCCACTTTCAGGTTTATGTTTCTCCCTCTCCCTTCTCTCTCTCTCTCTCTCTCAAATCAATAAGCCTGGAGAAGGGGAAGGAGGGCGGGAGGAGGCTCAGTTGGTTGAGTGTGTTCCCATGCACCAAAAGGGAATGTGCCTGGGTGGTGGGTTCAATCCTCAGTAAGGGACCGCCAGAAGGCTGCCAACCAATGATCCTCATCATTGATGTTTCTCTCTACCTCTCCCTCTCCCTTCCTCTCTAAAATCAATAAAAATATTTTTTTAAATGGAAAAAATACCCTCAGGTGAGGATTAACTAAAGTAATAAAAAGCTTTAAAAAAAAAATACCAAGGACAGAAACGGGTACAACATAGAAGCACAACCCCAACCCCTCAGGAAATAGCATAAACACCAAACAGAACAATTACAAAGATTTTGTGACACACCTTTACCCCCTTCAAGACATTTTCCTCCTTTATGGTTGCACTAGAGGTCTGCGGGATCAGGCCGAAACTGGCTCTCCGATATCCCCAGAGGGGTCCTGAATTGTGCGGACGAAGGCCAGGCCAAGGTACCCCACCAGTATATGATTGGGGCCGAGGAGGGACAGGGGAGGTTAGCCAGCAAGGGCATGTCCTGTAGGGTCTGGCTCAGTCCCCATAGGCTGGACCCTAGCAGCAAGTTAGCCTAGGGGTTGGAGCGTCTGCCCCTGGTGGTCAGTGCACGTCACAGCAAGCAGCTGAGCAGCCTTAGCACATCTTTAGCACATCACGCTTTGATTAGTTGAAGGGACGACTGGACAACTGGACACTTAGCATATTAAGCTTTTATTATGAGTTTCAACTCTCATTGCTGCCTCATCAGACCAAAAAACTGTGAAATTAAACTTAAAAGTTAAAGCCAAGTTTTTCTGCCTTTTTCCCTCGATGGGGAAATGCGTATTTGTGTCTTGTCCATTCCCAATTCTACCACCAGCAGGACAAGCACAAAGCTAATGTGGGGGGTCCCTGAACTGACAGAACTCCACGCGGATGACAAATCAGTGTTCAGGTGCATGGGGTCAAGAAGTTTGGTTTCTGCAGACATTCAACATCTCACCAGAACCCCATCCTCAATCATACCTTAACTAAATTGCCAGTGAATGCTTGGTAGCGCAGGCCGTGTTCCTGGGAAGCAGCTGTAATCCGATTAACCCAGAGCTGAAATTAAGAAAATATTGAGAAACTTAAGAACTCATAGTAGCCTTAGTCAGTGTGGCTCAGTGGATAAAGTGTCGGCTTATGGACTGAAGGGTCCTGGGTTTGGTTCCAGGGAAGGGCACGTACCTAGGTCACAGATGTTTGTCTCCCTGCCCACCCCTCTAAAATTCAATGGAAAAATATCCGAGGGTGAAGAGGGTGAGGATTAACAACAACAAAAACATAACTTGTACGTCAGTCCACACCTCCCAGCAGGGCTCCGAGCGAGCTGCTGCTGCTGCTGTAGCAGCGCATGTGAGTCCGTGTCCCTGCTCAGGCCAACAGGCTTCCACACCAGCAGCAGGAGGCCAGGCCGGCGCTCGCCCCCAGGGCCAGCTCCTCTCAGCTCGCAGGGAAGTGGGTGCAGTGAGGGGGAATTCAAACCCCTTTAGGCACCGAGAACACAGCTGAAGGGGACTTGCAGACTCGGCTCAGAGTTTGGGAAGGACCGCGTGTGGAGTCACGCAGGAGCCACGGAGGTGCGGCTCCCTCAGGGAGCAGGGGGAGGGCAGAGCAGGGCTGCAGGGAGGGAGGACCTGGCTGGCAAGGAGCTGCAGGGCGTTCCGGAGCAGGCACCTGGAGGCTAGGGGGAAGGGACCAGCCAGTGACGCAAAGGCTTCTGAATGGAACTGCTCCGTTAAACAGGGAGGCTCTCTCAGGCCACGCCTGACTCAGTGCTAAGGCTCGGGCCCTTTCTTCCCTCCGTCCGTGGTCCTCAAGCTGGGCCGTGCATCAGAATTGCCCACGGGCTTGTCAAACGAATCGCTGCCCCACCTCCGGGGCTTCTGCTGCAGGTGCCCGGGGAGCCCGAGACTACACTTCTGCCAGCCCCACCAGCCGCTGTGCCGCCCCAGGGCCCGCCGGAGCCCCTGCTGCTCGGTGGCAGCAAACGCGAGGGAGCTGCCAGGCCCTGCTCTCAGCTCTTCACAGCACATTCCAACCAGCGGCGCACAGCTGGGTCTCCCCCAGGAGCCCGGGGGGCCAGCACCCCTCTATCCCCTGCTGATAAGACCCAGAGGGGAAACAACAGAACTGGGTGCACAGACCCCTCTGCAGACTCACAGGCAGGGACAGTTCACTGTGCGGGGACCAAACCTACGGTTTGTGAAGTGGGTCTGACATTGAAAGGACAGCCCTGGCAGGCGTGGCTCAATGGTTGGAACCAGGAGGTCATGGCTGGATTGTGAGTTGCAGGAGGCAGCCCATCAGTGGTTCTCTCTCCCTCTCCCTTCCTTTCTAAAGTCAATAAAAATATATGTATATACTTTTTTAAAGAGTCAGAATTGCCGAAACCGGTTTTGCTCAGTGGATAGAGCGTCAGCCTGCGGACTGAACGGTCCCAGGTTCGATTCCAATCAAGGGCATGTACCTTGGTTGTGAGCACATCCCCAGTGGGGGGTGTGCAAGAGGCAGCTGACCGATGATCCTTTCTCATCGATGTTTCCAACTCTCTATCCCTCTCTCCTCTTCTCTGTAAAAAATCAAAATGTTTTTTTAAATCACACCCCACCCCTCTATCCATTCAGCCCATATTTACAGAGTGTTACTGACCTGGACCCTGGGTCACACAGCGTTCAACAGCAGTAAGATTCCCCTGTGAAACCTACGTTCCAGTGGGGGCAGGGGGCGAGCAAAGAACAACCAACCAAGTAAAACACATGGTGCGTTGGATGCCGAGTTCACGAGGGCGCTGAGCGGCGCCGGCCTGAGAAGGTGGCACTTCGCGGAAACCCAAGTGCAAGTGCAAACTGCTTGGGAGGGAGCAGGCGGGAGGGCGGGGACCAGACCACAGTGACCACGGCTGGGCTCTGCCTTTCCTCACGAGCGGGGAGGGACGGGAAGCGCCCGGGGCCTCAGGTGGAGGGGAGCTGAGAAGCGGACATGGTTGGGCGGAGAAGGACGGGCGGTGCCGCAGGCGGGGGTTGGCGGTGCGGGCACGGGACCCTGGCCACCGGTTCCTGCGGGATTTGGGGTGAAGGGCATGAGAACGAGAGAGACAAAGGCCTGGAGAACGGTGCTGAGGCTTCCGCCTCGGCGGCAGGGGGACGGGGTCTGCCGCAGCCGCCGCGGGTCCCGCGGGAGGGGAGGGGAGGGGAGGGGAGGGGAGGGTGGGAGCCAGGCCCCTCGGCCGGGGGCTGACGCCGGGCCCCCGGGGTCCAGGCTCACCCTCCGCAGGATCCTCTTCCTCAGTCTCCGGGCCTTCGTGCACTTCACAAACGCTCTGATCACAGCGCGGACGGCCAGCCGGTAGCAGCGGTTCGACCTCCCCCGGAAGTGCTGGGTCAAAAAGAACGGGAGAGGCGGGTCGGCGGCGGGGTCCGCGGGCTCCCGGGCGCGCCGGGGCGCGGGGCGGGCGCGGCCGACTCACCCGCGCGTGCTTCAGCACCTCCTGCACCCGCCAATAGCGGTCGGTGACGCGGGCCCGCAGCCAGAGCTGCGTCGTGAGGAAGACCATGTTCCCCGCGCGCGTCCCCGCTGAACGACGCCCGCGCCGCGCCGCGCCGGCCGAGGGCTTCCGGGTCAGCGGCCCACCGGGAACTTCCGGGGCACCGCGCATGCTCCCCGGCCCTACCGCCGCCTCGCTTTCGTGCGCATGCTCGGGCTCGGCGGGCCGGTGCGCGCGCAGCCTCCCGCTCTCTCCGCCCTCCCGCCCCCCGCGTCCGGTTGTGCGCGTGGACGGGGGCGGAGCGGGCCGGGGGCGGGGCGGGGGCGGGGCGTGGACGCTGGCGGCGGGGCGGGGGCGGGGGCGGGGGCGTGGACGCCGGCGGCGGGGCGGGGCGGGGGCGGTGGAGAAGCCAATGCCGCCCTCCCCCACGCGTGGGCCTTCCGCGTGCCCCGCGGAGGGCGAAGGGCCGCTGCAGACCGCCGCTGCGGGAGCCTTGCCTCAGGCGGGGCCAGCAGGGCACCAAGGCCGCGTGTCGTTTGGTTCCGTCCGGTGAATACCCGGAACTGGCGGGTCCACGGACTCCGAGCCCACCGGGACCGGCCCGGGGCGGGGAGGGGGGCGGGGAGTGGCGGCCCGGGGACAGGGTGTCCTTTCGCGTGTTGACGTGTTCTGCCCCGGGGTAGCGGGGGCGGTTGCATAAGCTGTGAAAGTCCTAAACGCATCGGACCCTTTAAAAATGGTTAAACTTGCCGAAACTGGTAGAGTGTCGGTCTGCGGACTGAAAGGTCCAGGGTCAAGGTTGCGGGCACACCCCCGGAGAGGCAACTGGTCGATGTTACTCTCTCATCGACGTTTCTAGCTCTCTATCCTTCTCCCTTCCTCTCTGTAAAAAATCAATTAAAAAAAATATTTTTTTTTAAATGGTTAAACTGGTACAT